CATTATACTTGAAACTAGAAATCTTATTTGAGCTCTAGCTAAAATTATTCCATAAAGGAATGATATGAACAATTAGTCAAAGATTGGGTTAAAGATAAAATGAGATTATGCATGTAGTATTTCCAAACCATAAAGCATCATTGTATACATTGTAAGAGAGGGGGTTATTTTTATTTCATATCTTTTACATTTCCTTTTAAACACTTGTTTATTTTCCTTATTTTTCTTCCAATGATCCTTTCTTTCCCTTTATATTGTTCTCATCCTCTTCCTTCCTCCCCCATTCATAGCTTTCATTTTCCTTCTTCCCCTTTCCCTCAATTTTTTTATTTCTCCCTTTCCTTTCTCCCTCCCTTCCTGATTGGTGTGCAGTGGTGATGAGTCACCCTGCGGTGTGAAATACTCAGTCTAAATTGGTAAGAAGAGTCAGAGGAGCTCGCACTTCTGCATCAGCCAGAGAGAATAATGGAGCAAACTGAACTCTCCACAGACACAGCTAACAAAGTAAGTCATGGTTTTCTCTTGAAATGTGTATGATCCTATTAGTAGGTAAAACCCAATATCTAATGCTGCATTGAAGTTCCCATGGAATATGTGTGCACCATGCTTTACACAATGCAAGTATTCCAGGTAATTTGTAAGTCAAATTTTAAGAAACAAGATCATAACTGTGATAAAATAAGAACTTCTATTATTTAAAGAAACATCTTACTCTTTCTGTAAAGTAAAATAATCTTTTATAAAATTAAAATCATCCTCCAAATGCAATCACTGATTAATTTAGGGGGGGAAATCAATCAATAAATATATAAGCTTAATCTGTATAGAGATTTAAAAATAAAAATTCAATAAATAAATAATTTATAAGACACAGGAACTAAGTACCAAGGTAAGATAAGATGTTCTATGTGATTTTTTATGAGTGAAATTGACTAAACAAACAAAATTAATATTTTTGTCCTGTATCATTTCTTATAATTTTCTTGGCATTATGAATTCTAATCTGTTTTAAATAAATGATTAATATTAAAAATTATAATGCAGAAATTTAGAATCTAAAACTGAACTGTGCTCCAAAGATCAGTTGGCCAATATTAACATCGTGTATCATTTGGAATGCAGAAAAGATATTTCCTAAGAATAAAGTGTATTAATCAGATTTATGTGATAAAACTATTTTTTAAACAAAGACTATCTACTATGTCATAGGATGACATGAGATGCATATAGAGAGAAAAACATTCATTTAATATTTCTACAGACAGATAACTAAATAGATATCACTGGTTTCACATTACAACATTGTAAATTATTATTCACACATGTGATTGCTTTCATTGAATGCAATAGATCATCTGCATTTCAAAGTGACATAACTAAAATGATCAGTCAGCATAGAAGTGAATTTAACTATGTTTTTCACCTAATTTTAGTTTTATGGCAGTAAATTTTCATTTTTTTTAAAATAGGTGATTTTATGCAGGGCAGCCATTGCCTGGAGGGCAAATGCTCCCCTGTCCATTGAACTACTTGAAGTTGATCCACCAAAGGCTTGTGAGGTTCGAATTAAGGTAAATATAAATGATACTTTTTGCAGGTATGCATGTGGATATTTGTGTTTACAATAATTTTACAATTTTAGAAGAACAAGTGTCATTTTCTATTTAAAAATAATTAAGGGTCTCTCTGATTTACATGTAGATCTGTATTAACATGTATAATAGTGAGATTATTTCATTTTGTTAAAGTGGCAAATATAATAAATGCTGAAATGTCTTTTAATGTTTTAGATGCACTTTTTTTTTAATACTTTAAAAGTCAACACAGGTAATTATTGACCAAAAAACTTCTTGGGTTTTTCACAATTATAAAGTTATTCCAAATGCTGTTATATAATAGGGCAGACATTCTTCTCAGTCATGGCTGAGAAAACAAGGGAACCCTTCCCTGACCCAGCTCCTGCTTATAGAAATCTGTGGAACCCCATCAAGCATAGCAACATATGCATAATCAGTGTCCTAGAAGGAGAAAAGGGGGCCTAGAAAATTAAAAAATTAATTGCTGAAAACATTTTCAAATATGCTGAAAAACATTAACCTACATATCTGAGAAGCCCAATGAATTTCAAGTAGGATAAACACAGAGGTCTACAATATCATAGACAAATTCTGTGTTCAAAGACAAAGACAAAGTTTTAAAAGAAGCCAGAGAAAAATGACACATCTTATACGAGAGAACCCCAATAAAATTAATATAAGAAGCAATGAAATCCAGAGGGTGGAGAGATAACATATTCAAAGTGCTTGAAGAAAAAACTCAACCAAAAATCCAGCAAAACTATCTTTCAAAAATGAAGGTGATTTTCTCTATATCCTGGTCAACACTTGTTGTTTGTGGAAAACAGTATGGAAGTTCCTCAAAAAATTAAAGATGGAACTGCCTTATGACCCAGCAATTCCACTTGTTTTTTTTGGATATTAGCTACAAGTCATGCGACAGGTTGCCAGGATCAGGATAGGAAACATAACATGTTTTAACTTGTTCTATTGAGGATGGGAGGAGGGCATTAAGAGCAATGCAAAAGAGAAGCATATATACCTTGATACCCAGGAGTCCCCTCTATGTATTTAAGTATAGGTATCAAAATAGACCATAAATTTTGGGTTGTCTATTTCATCACATCCCATAGAACACATAGCTCTTCCTGGCAAAGAGCTAGAAAATACTTCAATGATAATGTTAAATTCACTGTGATGTTAAAGAGGCCTAAATAAAATTATAAAGACAGAGACAAACTAAGTGTTTTGGTCTGTTTTCTGAAATAGCTATACTGCAAGAGTGCAATCAATAGCATATCAAATATATAGTCAAGGTTTTAAAGAATATATTCTGTTGCTAGTTTGGGAAATATTGCATTTTTCTGAAAGATCCAATTTTATGACAAAGCATTTTATCTCCAATCATTTAATCACCTTTCAGATTCTATCTTCTGGGATCTGTGGTACAGATCTGCACATCCTAGAAGGGAGAAACAAAGTACCTCTTCCTGCAGTTTTGGGCCATGAGGGAGCTGGAATCATAGAGAGTGTTGGAGAAGGTGTAACCTCTGTGAAACCAGGTAAGTAATTGGACAAGATATGGTGCCAACCCAGTAAATTCTCCTTTCCTAACTCACTCCCTGACATTTCCCCAAACCACCTGAAAGAGCCAAACTCATCACACAGTAACAAAAATATTTAAATGCATTCACACACATATATAAAAAAATAGTCAGCCTAAGATTCAGAATCTTCAAAATGGGTGTTTATCTGAAAAAAACTCAAATAAAAAGAAATTTTCTCCACTCATTTCCATAGAGATTATCTCTAGTCTACCCATCTCAAATTAAACTAAAAGCTGCAAATATATACAAGATATTGGAATATCATCAGATTAAAATTATGTATGGTTAAAATTTTTTTCTAGATGCACACACATATGATAATCCTTTAAATTGTCTGTAGCATCTATAAAAGTTTCATCAAGAATTTGCAATTACTTCTTCCACATTGGATACAATTCGTGTTCCAAACACTTTGGATAATGCTTTACAATAGCACATTTTCCAACAACAAAGATGTCATGGATATTTTATACCTATTTTATGTATGAGAAAATATAAGCTTTGGCCAACTAATCATCTTATGCAGTTGATTTAGCTACTTAATGGCAGAGCTAGCATTGAAATACAGGTTGTCTTACCTCAAATTCTGCGCTCTTACTCAATAATATGTCTCATAATTAGTACTAATTCTAGCATTGACACTACAGTATTAATTCATTCTTTCAACAAATATTTATTAAGTACCGACTGAGTGCAACACTCTGCTATGCTCCTAGCATAGAACACTAATCAAAGTGGGCAAGCCTTAGACCACAAATTCTTAGACTTAGGTCTCTATTGCCTTTGAGCCTCAATGTTATTAGAGAAAAATCTTCAATTTTTATTTTGCATTTTAAAGGTCTATTTGCAAACTCGGAAGGTTGAACACAGGTTCAGGTTGCCTTTGTTGGGGTTGCTCTGCTGAGCCAGGGCACTCTGTGAGATTGGGGTCTGGCCACTGACCGTGGGGTGCAATGCCGCTTCTTGGGGTGTATGAGGAGTGCTGAGCACCCTGGGGAAGTCCAGAGCAGAGCTCTGTGCAGACTGTGGAAGTTGACTGCGTGCTCCCTTTAGATCTGTGTATATACCCAGATGGTTTTCATCCACTTTGAGTAGTTATCCAAAGAAGCCTATGACTTCTTACCTTCGATTTTCTGAAAAACAGCTAGCCATATATAAAGCTCAGAACCCAGATGCGAAAAATTCAGAACTACCATATTTTTCCGTGTATAAGATGCCCCCATGTATAAGATGCCCCCCAGTTTTCCAACCCAAAATTAAGAAATCAATATTTTAAACATAAAACAGAACACATTTATTTAGTGTAATTGCCACAGGTAATGTTTACATGCCAGTATTATGATATTATACAGTATATCACTTTATTCAGCCTCTGTTGCATCACTGCTCTCTTCTTCATCACTATTAGTTCCAGACATATCAATTTCTTTGAATTCTATTGTATCACTGCTGTCTTCTAAGTCACTGTCTATATATGTGAGATCATTCTCATAAACTGGTGGCATTTTCTGAGCTAACTTTGTTTGTGTTCTCATGGCCAACCCTTCTCTCCTCATGAAACTGAAGCAGCATTTTGCCTTTTCTGTAAAATCAACAATGTTCATTTCACTTGCAAACATTCTTGCCTGACATTGAAT